TATTTCTTTCAGAAAATCAGGTCCAAGGGGCGGAGCTCCACAATAGAGCAGCTTCAAACACCGGRAGGACAAGTGTCAACAGCGGAGGAGATRGTTGCGGTGGCTCATCAATTCTACAGCGCCCTATAYAYGTCGAGAGAACAGGACYATGCCCAACAGCAGGTGCAGGGGGCCAGATCGAAGTTCCTAACCCATCTAGAGCGGACGGTRACTAGTGTGCACGCGGAGATGTTGGAGGCCCCACTCACCCAAGAGGAGCTCTGGGCTGCACTCAAGTCAATGACGCCCAACAAGACTCCAGGAAGGGATGGCCTGACGAGGGAGTTCTGGCTTGAGTATTGGCCARTCCTAGGGAGTGAATATATGGCATTCCTAGAGAGAGCCTGGCAATCAGAGGGGCTGGGGCAGGACGCGGCCACARSCATCGTCACTTTGCTSTATAAAAAGGGGGATCCTAAGGATATCAAGAACTACAGGCCTATTACCTTGCTGACACTTACTCACAAGATTGTAGCGAAGGCCTTGGCCAACAGACTTAGGAAGGTAACTAGAGGCTGCTTTCATTTAGATCAGACCGRCTTCATCCCCGRCCGATTCATACTGGACAATGTTATGACGTTGTCAGAATCAGTTCGCTACATTAAGGATAAGAGAATCAATGCGGCAATTTTATTCTTCGACTTCGAGAAGGCGTATGATCAAGTAAACTGGGGGTTTCTCCAGCAGTGCATGGAAAGGATGGGGGTTGGRCCCAACTTCAGGAAGTGGATACGAGTGCTATACAACGACGCACACGGCCAAGTGCAAGTGAATGGCCACCTGTCACAGTCGTACAGGATGTCGAGATCGGTCCGACAGGGAGACCCCTTAGCAGCGCCCATCTTCCTGTTTATAATGGAGGCGGTCGCATCCTTCCTTAGAAAGGATCCCTCCATCCAGCGTCTGACGGCGGAACCAGACCAGCAGGGAAGACTGATCCACTTGCCAACGACACTCCTCTTCGCCGACGACCTGACGGTACTGATCCGGGCATCGAACTCTTCATTCGAAGCACTCACCAGAGCAATGCTGGCCTTCCGGTTAGCATCCGAAATGAAAATAAACTGGCAAAAGACAACCGGATGGTGGCTACACTACGCTGAAGGAGAGGGACAGAGGCCGGACAGCACACCGGAAGGAATGCACTGGGTAACAGCAGAGGAACCCCTGCGCTACTTAGGAATCAGCTTAGCAGAAACGGGCCCGCACCGCTCAATGGCTCCARAGATTCTAGCAAAAATACTCTCTAAATTAGGGGCATGGTCAACGGTCTACACCTCACTCTTCGGGAGAGCGCTAATCTTAAACGCTTCCATCTTCTCCATGATGTGGTACGTGGGCACGATTTGGACGCCACCRGAGCAGTCAGTTAAGGAATTAAGAAGAAGATCAGCAGCCTTTCTATGGACAGCAAACCCTAGCAAGCAGAACTTCATATCCAAAGTCGCCTGGAAGCATGTTWCCAAGCARARGGAGCAGGGGGGACTAGGCATACTAGAACCAGAGCAACAGATGAAGGCGCTGCAAACGAAGTGGGTGGTGAAACTCATCACTCATCCTCAGCTGCCATGGGCACCCCTGGCTTTATAGCACATCAGAAGTCTGGCCAAATACAAAACTCCCGCCAACATGTCTGGGCTGTTCTGGGTAATGAGTAAATCCTGGACGTAGAGGAGAAAGTGCGGGGGGGAAGAGACATTGGACGTACTAGAAGGGAAGGGARGGTCCTACTGGGCGCAGCTCCTAAAGCTTTGGAGAGACATCTTCCCAGCAAGGGTGAGGGAACCACGCAATAGGGAGGAGGTGCTACACCAACCGCTATTCTGCAGTCCTTGGATCAAAGACAGGCAAGGGAAGCCGCGCAATCTTACAGCACGGGATTCGAAATGGGGAACCCGGGTAGAACATGGAGTTTGGCAGGTCAGACATTTATGGTCCGAAGAGCAGAGGTGGTGGAAGACAGCACGGGAACTTCGTTTTGACATGAAGGGCACTCACAAGCTGCTAGAAAACCTGAATGATGTCCTCGTCTCCATCCCAACGGAATGGGTAAAGCTGTTAGAAAAGGGACCACAGTGGGAGGGGGGGGACTGGGCTACGTGGGAACGGGAGCTTAAGCCGGAAGAGGCCTTCAGGATAAGGGGTAGGACGGGCCCGSGGGAGACATGGTTACTAGCAGATATGTACACAATAGAAGAGGCAGGGGCTACGACGAGTCAGCTGGACAAGGCATCGGCCACCCCGATAGCAATCTTAACAAGTGCAGTGCGGAAGATCAGGGTGGTGGAGACGGACAGCTAMACAATCTATGCCCCGGCCACGGCACTAGAAGACTTGGAGGTAGACCCAGCAGAATGGGCATGGAACCTCAGGGGTGGAAGGCTGAGGGYCACCAGGAGAATAAACATACTACATTACTCAACCCATCTGGGATACAGACTCAGAAGGAGGTCCCACCCACTGGCAGATTCTCTGGCCACAAGATGGGAAAGGAGGCTGGAAGTGCCTAGGGCACAGGTTGCTCACCTG